AAACAAAAGAAAACCACACCAAAAAACCAGCTCTGGCTTAGTCTAAATCCAGTACAACTGCACAGATTGTATTGCCTGGGACATATTATTATGGTGATTGTTGTTCTCTATGGCTGTTGTCCATTTATAAGCTGGAATTTTCACCTCCTTTGYCTGCTTTCAAAGTTGTTTGCTTTCAGAGTTTCTGCTTTCCAAAGTTTCTGTTTATATTTAGCTYTATATACACAATGCTTATGCTGCAGGCAGAGCTGTCATTCACATCAAATGCAGGATACATTTTATCAGCCTGTTTTCCCTTATTTTGAAAGGAGTATTTCTCCCTTTCCTTTTTTAAATTCTTCTGATAAAAGAACTCCGCCATGGACTAGTTTGCTCTCCAGTGCTGTTTGGCAATTTTATTGGACAGATTTTGATTRCACTTTGTTATTCAACAAGGATTATTTTCCCTAGCTCAGAGAACACCTGTGAGTTCGAGTACCCCTATTATTTGTGCATGTCACTGCATATTCTCCTGACTGAAAGTTTAAGTTTATCCAACACACTTTAAAACTGACAGCTTGCTGGTTTTCACCAAGTTCTTTATTTTTTAGCTTTTGTGTCATTGGTACAAAACTTTCCCACTCTTTTCAATCCATCCAGAGGAAATTATTGCTGAGTTAATGGCAAAATCTCATGGCAAGTTCCAGAAGCGGTAACGTTTGAAACAACTGTAAACCAAATTATGCGTGATCATCAGTACTGACATTTATTCTCTTTTAAAGCAGCAGTTCTCGAATCTGTGTCAGTGGACAGGACTATTCCTGAAAGCACCTCAGTAGTGGACACCGCAGAGCTGTCCCCGTGCCGGTCCCCTTCGACACCGCGTCACCTCCGCTACCGTCAGCCAGGAGGTGAGACACTGACACGTCCAGGCTTTGCCAGACACTTTAAATAGGGTTTAATCACTGTGCCTGTGGTCTGTGCAGGTCAGTAGAAAGCAATAATCATCTGGTTYGCTCGTATTTTTCTTGTTTCTCAGGTGTTAAAAAGTAAAAAAGCCATTAAAACGTGAAGTGYGCCCAAATTTGAGTAGCAGTAATGAGACATGGAAGCGTGTTGAGACTTCAGTATGATTCAGTGCTCTGAAATAGCTCAAGCAGGATGTGCCCAAGTTCAAGAGCAATGTTGAATCAGTCCTGTTCTCACAGAGCTCTCAAGACTTCGACATATTTTTTTCAGCTGATGAGGGGACATATTTTGGGCACCATATGCAATCACGAAACACAACACCCATTGTCAGTGGGGAGTGACTGTGTCTGTTTCTTTGTGTAACACTGAACATTTACAGATGGTGTCACATTATTCATTCCAAGATTTGAATAAGCTGCTCAGTTGAAGAGGAAAAAGAGAGCTGGAGCTCCTCAAATAGCTCTCACATGGCTCTTTGAAGTCATTAGCAGGGCTGTGAGCTGCATCCATGAACMCTTCAAGTGCTACCACCTCATGCAGGTCAGGTTTGTGGGCCAGTGTTCCCTGCCTGGGACTAAAACAAAAGCARAGCAGAGTCTTCCCACCTGGGTCATAAGTTGCAAGGACACTTTTAGTTTAAACCAAGAGTAATTTTCTGTGATAGGGCACATTTGTGACAAGAAGGCAAGATTTGTGAATTGGAAACTGCAGGCAATGTCGTATTATCTGAGTCTGAGTCAATGTTCACAGAACTCCCTGTAGAGAAATTCGATAGAACCTGCAAAACTGTGCTTCTCYTGGGCAGCAACCAGGGAAAACATGTGAATACAGTCATCAAAAGCTGGTGAATRTGCTTAATTCTCTGATGTAATTTTTTGTTGAGATAATTTTCTATACCATTGTTTTTCTCTCTCTTTTTTACCCCCACTCCTGTTTGGTTAAGATACTTGTTCCTGACCTTGTCAGTGTGTTAGATGTTTTTGTATGGCAACATTAATTATACTGGTCTGAAAAGATAAGCTACAAATATGATTATGATTATGGTACTTTTGTTGTCTTTAACAGAAAATCATCTGACAATGACAACATGGAACACTGACAGTTACAATCTGTACTGAAGATTCTAAGTGTTGTTGCTGTTTAATGCAAAGTGTGTAGAAGGTAATTTTTTTCCTGTCTTTTCCCTTTACAGTGCAGACTGCTGACAACAGCCACTGCTCMGTTTCTCCTGCTTCTGCTTTTGCAATTGCCACAGCTGCAGCTGGGCACGGGAGCCCACCAGGTGAGAGGGTGTGCTGTACAGACACGAGTGACAGAGGGGTGCATGGGCTCTCAGAAGGTGAACATTCCTCAAGAACATACCTCAGTGTTCTTGACAGCAAATTCTTGAGTCAGACAGGGCTTGGCAGYAAWGTGGTCTAGTGGGAGGTGTCCCTGCCCATGGCAGGGTTGGAACTGGGTATTTTTAAGACCTTTTTCAAGTCTATTAGTTGATTTCTTAATATTTGCAATCCWACCTATTACTGAAAGATGAATATTTGACATGTATGTGATCTGCTAAGCATCCAGATAGTATCTGTCTTGTTTTTTTTTTTAATTGAACTTACAATTGAAGATTTTATTTTTTAAAATGAGGTTTTCTATGTCCAGAGGTAGTATGCAATTCTACTAAATTTTACTAATTGTAAGTATGTACCGTATATTCCTCGGAAAGCAGCTACTGACTGAAGGTATTGAGTGCAAGATAAAATGTTAAGTATTGAATGTGCTGCTTGTCTTGCTGTGTACCATTTGGCATATCAATATTTTCCACTAACAGAGTCCTCTCATAGATCATGTTGCACATAAACCCAAACTTCTCTTAAGTGTACAAAATCAATTTCACTTTGGCTTGGCTTGCTCAAACCCACAGTTCATTCTGATCATGTGTGACAAAGCACAATCCAGCTGTAAACTCACACTTGCATTTTTTCCATTGGAATATCAAGAAACTGCTTTGAAGACCCCAGTCTCAAAATTATCCATGGAATTCTGCGTAAGACAGTAAATCCCCATGAATCTCAGTGGATTTTGTATCCACTATGTCTAAAGTTATTGCCACTGATTGATGGGTGAGAAGACATCAGGAGAAAATAATTTCTGCATGGTCATGGATCAGTTCTGCTCTTAGTCTGGTGTACTTGTATGATGTTTAGATTACAGGACAGTGATTTTCACTGTTAGGAACTCTATTAGAGAATTATTTTGGCTGGAAAATCCCTCCCAGCCCACAGTGTCCCAGCTGTGCCCACCGTGTCCCCATCCCAGAGCTCTCAGTGCCACCTCCAGCCCTTCCCTGGACACCTCCAGGGCTGGGCACTCCAAAGCTCCCTGGGCAGCCCCTGCCAAGGCCTGAGCACCCTTTCCATGGGCAAATTCCTGCTGATGTCCCCCCTGAGCCTGCCCTGGCCCAGCCTGAGGCCGTTCCCTCTCCTCCTGTCCCTGTTCCCTGGAGCAGAGCCCAAATCCCCTCTGGCTGTCCCCTCCTGGCACCAAAAATCGGTAAAATAAGCATCCCTAACAGCCATACAGCACCAAGAAGCTGTCATTGTTCACTCAGTGCTGGGTGCATGAGGGAACATTGCTCTGAGATACCGTGTGTGCTGAGCACAGACAGGTTCCTCTTCTTGGGCTGTGTTTTACGTGTAGACTCAGGTTTTCCCAGAACAAACATTGATACGGTAACATTTCCCTGAGGTCATTAACACACATTCCCTCCCATCAGCAGTGTTCTCTGTCCTGGCAGTGTCTTTGGTRGTCCCTGGTGGGCAGTGACCCCACAGTTGTGACTGACTGCCTGGTGAGCTGSTGCTGSTGTGCCTGGTKATGAGAAAGGCTGGCATAGGTGGCCTAACTTGTTAATTTGTGAGGCTTTGAATCAATGGAGTGTAGCTTCTATTCCTTCCCTGGTTAATGTTTATYGTGCTTTTGATTGTGCCCTTCCATAGCCTAATGATTTTGCTAAATGGTCACTGTATTGACCACCCAGGTGCAAACACTTGATCTACAGCTGTCAGGAGTTGTGCAGAGCCACAAGGTGTCCCCTGATCCCATTCTGTCCAGGCTGAGCCCCTTTCCCACTCCTCATCCCCCTCTCAGGCCCTGTCACAACCTCTCAGAACCTGTCACAAACTTGCATTTAGCAATCTTTATTTGAATTATGAGTATTCTCTGCCTTTGGAATCAGGCRCTGCATGGAATCACTGACACAATCTGCTTTATGAATTAACCCAGTATGTTTGCAAATTGTTTAGAAAGCAAAGTAAGAATAAAAAAATATTGGGTTTTCCCACTAGGAACTAATTCGATTAAAAAATGCTGGTTTTGTATTGCTAAAATCACCGCTTTTCAATATTCATATGTCTGTGAAGTATGAGAGAAAATACAATCCTCAATTACACCGTCATTTGAAGGAATCAAAGCTTGGGAATGTTGAAAGGGAAAAAAGCAGTCCTAACATTCCTAAGTTCTTTTYTGTGCTGTTGTTTCAGCTAGCCCTTCATTAAAAGGTCATTGTCCTGTCTGATGTAAAAAACAGAAGATTGTGCAGCAGATTTGACAGGAAAATGTGCAGTTTTGAGTCTCAGGAGACTGAGTTAGAGTAATCCAGTGTCCACCTAAGTCTAAAAATGAAAGATTTCAACCCAGACCTTAAACCATGGAATCACCTGTTTTGTAACTTGGTGCAGTAATTTGTGGTAGAGATAGAACTAAAATTGAAGAGTTGTGAAATTCAAATTTGGGTAAATCAAATAAATGTAGGGTTTACTTCCCGTGCGTGCTGTCTTGATAGTGAGATTTTTTTAAAATAATGCCTTTCTTCTTCCCAGTGGTGTCCTGTCTCATTCACATTTTCTAGGATGGACATGACCAATCAGTGAATCAGTTTTGGGCAGTGAATGAGATTTTTTGGCATTTTTTTTTTTGTTTTATTAAGTCACTCCTTGGCTTCCCTGCTGCAGACACTGTGACGTGTGCCCTTTACAATACTCCTACATGGAGTGTGAGTAGAGTGACAGATTAAATCCTGTGTTGATTAATAGCAAGTGATGCACATGARGCAAAACAATGTGAGCTCTGCACCTGAGAGGATTGGCTCAGGGCTGAGAGATGAGGATGGGAACAGGTCATWTCCTGAAGTGATCTCAGTGCTCTGCAGGAGCCAGAAAGGTGAAGGAAACATCAGGAATTACATGGAAGGAACTGGTACAAAATTATAATGGTACCACAGCACAAATGCAAAATTTGCACGCATATTGAAGGGTATGTACAGTCCTGACTGAGGTGAGAGACTGAGAGGTGGAAAGGGTTGAGAGTTTGCAATCAAGGATGAATTGAGTTATGAAATGGCTTCTGTGCATGTGAAGTTTAGAGAAGAGAGGGCTGGAGGCTTGATGAGGAATTTCTGTGAAAGGGGTGAACAAGGTGGTGTGGGTGAAGGGCTGCACTCAGTGTTCTCAGAGATCTTTTTCAACCCTAAATATTCTAAAATTCTATGGTTTGCTGCCTTCTCTGGAGCAAGATGTAGATACATCAGATGGTTTCCATGGACCAAGTTTCAAAAGGAGCAGGAGTTAGAGACTCCTTGTGCAATCAGTTGGAGTTTAGAGAGATCTGGAGAGGGACATTGTGAGAGGAACAGACTCACCCAGGTTCCAGGGTCTCAAGCCCTTCAGCAGGTGTTTTTTGACTYACTGATTTTATTGCTGTTATTGCCACTTACTTTACAGTTAGCTGCTTTGATGATGCCAAGCTGTGCTACTTTTCCTATTGTTTAGTTCRTCTGCCTGGTTAAATATTAATCTCTACATATCTTAAACGTATTTTTGTCTGTTTGCTTCCAGAAAATTTGCGTATTAGTCGTGTATTTTAACAGCATGATAAAGATAAAAAGAAGCATGAAGTAAAAGTGTAGAAAGTTAAATAAGGCACCCCAGGTKCACAGCTTGGGGCCTGTATGGAGGATGATATGCACAGTAGGGATAAATAGAGTATGTTCTGTCTTTTACATGTCCTTTCTCTTTGGAGGGATGTGAGGGACAGCTGGATAACTGCAGTGTTCTGTCACCATTAACAGCCTGTTTCACACCCTTCATTCCTTTCCCAATGTATAAAAATACTTTAACAACACTAACAGATTCTAGCATAGGAATGGACTTCAGCAGTTTCTTCTCCCTCTGTTGCACACCTCTATAAAATTGGTTCTTGATGTCTGCTTTAATCAGTGACAAAATCCACACAGAAGTTCTCTAGATCTGCTCACATGTTTGGCTTACAATATGGAAAAGTGCCTACAAAAATTTTGCTGTGAATTGTCTCATCCTAACAGGTATCCTGCTAACCCCTTGTTTTAGCTTTGCCATGAATAGTCCTGGAGTGGATCTGCAGCTGCAGTGAGCCCAATCTCCTTAGGAGTGAATTCCTCCTCTCTCTGAGTCTGTCACACAGCCAGTGTCAAAACAASCAGTGAGACTGGAAACGTGGGAGAGGAACCTCCTGCCAAAATACTCACCARTCATTTGTAGTCTTGCTGCAGAAATCCTACAGATGTTACAGGAGTTAAGCAGCAGCAGCAGCAGCATAATCTACACAGCACCCACACAAACCGTGACAGTAGATAAAAATAGTGTACATGGAGRATTATTTCTTTTACCTGTGGCTTCTAGAACTCGCAAAGTTCCGTGTTTTACTTTAGTTCCATTCTTTGAAATGTATTATTGCCTTTTTCTCTCTCATTAATCTTTTATTTACATCTGTTGTGCACAGAATCACGGCACAGCACTAGGATCAGTAAGATACTATGCAATGATTTTAAAGAAAAAAAAAAAACCCTTTTGGTTTTCATTTACCAAAACTGCTTTCTTTGCAGGCCCTCATACTTGTTAACAATTTGAAGGTATGAAGGTACTCTCTAAGGCTTGAAGAGATTGGAGTTTTATTTAGAATCTCTACATAGTTGTATGGATGAAGCCAAGTTAGCAAAATAATGCCATTTCTTAAACAATGAATTAGGTAAAAAGTACGTAGGTAAGCTTGCCAAAGATATAGATTTCTTCTCTCCTAACAATGTCTAACAYATCTTGAAGAAAAGTAGTTGATTCTAAAATCAGTAATTTTTTTTTTGGTTCTACTGAACATGGGGTTCAAGGAGATTGTTTCGAAAAAAAAAAACTTGAATTCAAGATCCAAACTGATCTTGGGTATTATTTCTTCAATATTTGTAGCAGAGAGGTTAAAAGAACT